AGTCAAACGAACTATTTTCAACGTTTCTGGAACGTTTACAATCGTTCTATAATCGAACCAATATTTGAATTTTATGTTCGAATTAAATTCGAACATAACATTCGAAATAGAAAACCACTTTCAGCCCCATATCTCCCGCACCCTTATAGCTATCGAGATGCAACCCCCATAGTGCACGAATAGAGACTTGGGGCTACTACCACATACAAACACCATTCACGTGCGATGTGTAGTTTTGGCGGAAAAGTTAAATATAGGGATACACACGTCCATTTTTATATATATATATATAGATATTACTTTATATTCTAGTGTATATTAATAGTAATATTATATAGTTATATATAATTAGTTCTATAATACAGTTCTATATAATTATAATACAAAAACTATATTAAAAAAATATTTATTAATTAAAATTATTATATATTTTTAGCTTTACAACATTGCAAACACCTTGTTTTATGCCATCATTTGAAACAAAATTACCGAATGTTCAAACAATGGTTGATCGTCAAACCCATAGTTCTCCTCCTGTATATGGTGAATCTCAATTGGAAACTGGTGAAAGCTCTAACCTTGTTCGTACATCTAGTACCTCTCAGCTAGAAACTTATCTCAGAACACCTCCAAAACGTACTCATGGTGGAGAGCATCGATCTGATCCATTAGATCTTACTGTAACCACTACAAAAAAACCACGTGTCGATGATTCTATTAAAATAGAAGCAGAAGATTTTTTGATGTCTTTTGATGATAGTCAATCTTGTGATAGCAAAACTTCAGATATTGCGATCCCTAAATCTACAGGAACAATACGTTGTGCATCTGTTTGCACACAACAGATCTGTCCTGACCAGTCTGAAACGGTTGATGTCACACAATGGAATGTGGATGACGTTGTTCAGTTTGTTACATCAATAGAATCTTGCACAGATTATGCAGAGGTAAAATTTTAGTATTTATTAATTTTTTTATAAACATTTCAAATTTTGCATGAAATTACAAAGTTTTATTTTTAAATTGGAAATGTCTGTAGCATATATTTTTTTTAATTTAAAAATCATATTGTAAGAACATTGTTTAGTATAAAAAAAAGGGCATTGGTAATCAATTTAGACAAATTTTCACTATAGTTCTAGATATGATGGTCTGATAATTGTACTTCATTGTTTGCTGTGATTGCTCTATTGTTCTACTGCAGTGTTTCTCAACCTCTAACGAATCGTCGCCCCCTTTAATGTAGTATTGCCCCCTTCAATAAAACCGTTACGTAGTATCGCCCCCTTCACTTCAAAATTCCGATGCTGAGGGCCAAGGCTAATGCCAAATTCGTGCTGCATTGAATAGACTAGTGACTAGTATAATGTTATTTGTTTAATTATTGTACGATATAACGAATAAAATATCTAATTATTCTTAATATAATGTTTTACTATATCGCCCAGAAAATTGTTTTTTGCCCCCAAATATAAATTGTTACTAATCGCCCCCTCAACATGGAAAAACGCCCACATGGGGGTGATATCGCCCCGTTGAGAAACACTGTTCTACTGCTAACTTGTTTTTATGGTTTTGTGGTTTTTCTCTCATCAATGAGCTAATTTGCTTATGAAATTCATTAGAATGCCAAAATATAATTTTATGTTGGCTGGATAAGACAGCAGAATCTTTAAGATTTAAAAAGTGGAAAAATTGCAGGCAGCCCTCGATTTTTGGACAAATTTTTTATTCGTACATAATACACTCGAGAAAAAATTTAATTCTGTCACATTGCTGGAATTGGATGAACTTTCATTAATATAAACAATGTTGACATTAATAAATGATTATAACATTGTAGCAAAGGGAGAATTTTTTGCAGAACAACTATCCAGGCAAGAGGAGTTCCTACAAGGTACTGAAGGTTTCTCTGTTTGTAGGACCTCTGTTTGCCTGGATACATGTATTGAAACAGTTGGTTATGGAGATATACAGACACCATAAGCTGTCCTGTGACAGATTTTCTCACAGATATGCAATTGCCACTTCAGATCCCTCATACCTGTAGAAGGCCAAAACTGTTGTCCAATCTGGTCCTACAAATACATTCGACCCCCCCCCCATAACGCGGGTTTATATAATGCGGATTCGTATATTGTGGTGAAAAAATTGCGACCGTATTCATATAAAGATGCTAAAAGAGACTCATAAAATGCGGTAAAATGTCATTGCTGACTTGTGTTGCGACAGGATTAGTCGAATCTGGACCAATAGTAGACGAGCAGCCGAACTACTTACAAGCTATGGCGAGTTTAGGCTTGTAAGTTGAGTTTACTATCGTCTGTACAGTATATAAATTAGGTACTGTAAGTCTAATACAGTACTGTAATTTTATACATTTCTTGTGAAAAAAACATTTCTTATTCGACGGCCATAAAAATTATTTCTATTAATGATGTCTCCAAAGTTCAACGAATTTTTCGCAGAAAAATAACTTATCAGAAAATGCGCCCGCTGTTTGGTGCACTGCTCTGTGACGAAAACAAGCTTAAGCAATGGCGTTGTCGAATGGTGCACATTCGGTAAGTAATCCTACAATTTTTTGTTTATAGCACAGTTTATACGGATCATTTCCAAAAAATTATACGTGTTTTGGAAATGTTGAGTCAAATTAGTCTAGAATCGATTAATTTTATGGAAGAAAACCTTTCAAACAGTCGTAGTTCGTAAACTGCACACGTGTTGGGCTGTGATNCAGTTTTATGAATTATAACATTTTCAACTGGATATGAACATAAACAAATAACATCTTTTAATAGATTAAAAAATTTTAATACAATGGAGCATTTTTTTAATCTATTAAATAACAATTATCAAATATAGATTAACATGTAAATAAAACTTTAAGTATGTTTATTTAAATATCTGTTCTTAAACCTGATAATCAATACATGAGTAATTCAAAACATTCATTTACATAAAAATTTTCTTATTTGATAAAATGTATAATTTACTTATCAGCACATCAATCATGTTTTCAAATTGTGAAGAGTTTTGTCTTGAAAAACGATCATATTTCATATTGACTCCGCACTGATTACATCTGACATCTATTCTTGTCAAAATGATTTATCAAAATACAAATGTATTATTTATATATAATTTTAATATTTGTTTCTTGACTTTGATTTGAATGTCTGTATATCAGATTTCAATGTATAAATTTTCAAATTTTATTAAATGATATCAAGTATGAATCAAATCATATACAGTGGGTGATTGGTTAACGAACATAATCTGTTCCAAGATTTTATTTGCTATTTGAATTGTTCATTAACCGATTATCAATTTACCATAGGTTTTTATGGAAATTTGATTAATTCATTCTAGAAACCTCAAAAAATAAAAAAAAATATACTTTCTTACTATGTTTATTTATATGAAATAATAAAAATACATATATACACAGTCTTGCATTTTTATTAGTCATGTTTTTTCTGTTTGCAGCGGTTAAAGAATCTGTCCAATGTTGATTGCTTTTCTCTCTTCAGGATTTTTCAGAAGTAATTAATAGCATTGTAATTGTAGATCCCCAAGCCTATTAACCTCAACCTGGTTTGGATGCCATTCTAAGTCTTCAAAAGATTTTTAACAGCAGATATTGGCATTAATCCTCTTTTTCAGAAGAAAACATATGTCGCCGAGTTTCTTGGTGTTCTTCTGTCATCAGATCAGTTTCAGGTTCCATTATGAGCTCTTCAATGTTTTTATTTCTCAGATATGATTTTTGTTGCTCCTTAAGCTGCTTGAGTCTTCTTGATTATACAGTATTTTTCTTAGATAAGATTGAACTGCGGCCTACTGTAGACCTGTTCAAGCCATACTGCCCAGCAACATCAGATATCTTCTGCCAACTCTCTACCTTTACTATTGTACTCTCTTGTTCAAAAATAAAAACTGACACAAAACTTAATGATTGTCCATCTGACAGACTTGCAAATATTATAAAAGAATTGTTTCTGTCAGAAAAATAAAAGACTGGAAGGGAGAGTTTCAAAGTTTGGATGAATACTATCCGATCAGTATATGCTGGGTTAAGTGTCGATATCAACATCTCCCACTCTCTGAAAAGTTTCAAATTGTTGCTTGAAGACAAGATCAATCGGTATTCATTATTTTACGTCGCTGCTTCTTGTGTTTGTTCTGCAAGATGTTCGTTGTCTGAACGTAAAAATCTTTCGTGAAAGTGTTCATTATCCGATTTCTTCGTTAACCAATCACCCACTATACAGTAATACCCCAATTACGCTACCCNTAAATTAGGTACTGTAAGTCTAATACAGTACTGTAATTTTATACATTTCTTGTGAAAAAAACATTTCTTATTCGACGGCCATAAAAATTATTTCTATTAATGATGTCTCCAAAGTTCAACGAATTTTTCGCAGAAAAATAACTTATCAGAAAATGCGCCCGCTGTTTGGTGCACTGCTCTGTGACGAAAACAAGCTTAAGCAATGGCGTTGTCGAATGGTGCACATTCGGTAAGTAATCCTACAATTTTTTGTTTATAGCACAGTTTATACGGATCATTTCCAAAAAATTATACGTGTTTTGGAAATGTTGAGTCAAATTAGTCTAGAATCGATTAATTTTATGGAAGAAAACCTTTCAAACAGTCGTAGTTCGTAAACTGCACACGTGTTGGGCTGTGATTGACTCGTATTTGAGGATTCCTACAACGTGAAATTCTTATAAAGTGGAATGTATCTACTGCATTATAGGGGGGTCGACTGTACTTGATAGGTGACAAATCTGGAGAGTTGGTAGGCCAAGGAAGTATGGCAACATGGCTAGTTTTGTACTTAATTCAGAAAGTTTTTTGACAAATTTTTTATATAATCATGAAAATAATAGTGTGCACCCAATTTTTTTAAAGGAAAATTAAGTGATTTACAATATATGAAATTTAGAAACATCTGGAAAATGCTACAGAAAAATGACGTTTAGACAGTTTCTAATGACATTTTCTTTTATTGGTTATAATATCTAAATTATGTTTTATATAATATACTTATATGTATTTACATTATATTATCTGAATACTGAATTAGAATATGTGATGTGTGACTATAATAGTTAAACATCATGCCTTTATAACAATTACTAGTCTGTTTTTTATAAAAACTATTGGGAATTGTATATATACATAAAAATGGATGTAACTTTTAACATAATTTTTTTCCATTTAATTAAATTGTTTAATTTTGTTGTACTGTCTTACTTTAAACTTAAACATAAATATATTAGGAATTTTGTAAATGTTTTGAAATTACCGAAATTAACAGACTATTTTATGGAGATTAAATTAAATAATAGATTTAATCATTTTTACATTTAGTGCATTGACGTACTTAAAGTTTGTTACTTGATACAGTTATAAGATAGTATATATGAATATCACTTTTATTTAGTTAAAAGGAATAATATAAATAAATTATATTGAACAGATATATTCTTTGTGGTCTTTGCATCTATATATAATAGAAAAGGATTTTAAAAGCTCTTAAACTTTTTTAGGATTAACTTCTATAAAAATTAAATTTAACACAATGTATGTATTCATGTTAAATTGTTAGTGTTGTATTTAATAACTCATTAGAAGAATCATGACAATTTTTAAGGGTTAAATAAACATTTTTAACTTTCGTAGACAGGGAGAGATTCAAACTAATAGTGAAAATTACTTAAGCCATTTTTATTTCAAACTTGAAAACTGCTGAGGAATCTACTTTCATTTCCTACATTACATAAAGCATTGATATGTTTAGCTGATCATTGTATTATTTGAGTGTTATATATTCCAATCAGAGAAGATTAGATGTAAAAATGTTGTCAGAGGAATTGTAAAATTTTTTTTTGATAATTAGCAATAGAAATTTAAACTTGATTTTGAATGAAAACAGTTTGTTTTCAA